GCATTTAGGGCACGTAAATGTTCCAACCCTTCGTGCTGGCCTTTTTTTATGAACCACTCTGAACTACCCATCTTTGTGAGTTGCCCAGTCACCAGCTAAGTCTGGTCCTGCTCTTCTGCAAAATCAGGGGGTTTGTCCTCTGCTAATGAAGCCAAAGGCTGAGATCAGCCAGGCGAAGGGTGTATTTTCTCCAAAAGTGGTAGCAGCCCTGCTGCAAGAAGGAAATACGCTTCTTCCTTTTAAATACAGGAATATGGTTTCCCTGCAAGGGAAGGCTTCCTCATTTGTTCTGGAGCATGAGCTGTAATTTCATTATATATAGTATATAATAGCAGTATAAAACCAAGCCTGGCTCAGCATGGGAACCACATTATACGGGGTTTTTGCTCTCTCCAGCTGATGCTGTGTCTTACCAGCCCTCCTAAGTCTTTCCCTGTAGCTTGCCCACATCCTGCATCAGTCAAAAATAGAGAGAAAATCCACTTACGGGTGGACCACGGGGACCGATGATAGACATGCCCGCTTCTCCTGGAGCACCCTGCAGAGAGACAACGGAGAGGAAAAGGGATGAGAAAAGGAGGTGAGGAAAATACAAATCTATCATATTCCCATCAAGACCAGGGTTAAAGGAGGGTGCTCAAGGTGTGAGACCTTTAGGGCTTACGGGGCAGCTGCTGTTGTGGCCTCCCCAGCTCCTGCCCCACAGTTTGGGAGAAGAGATGTTGTTTGGAGCAAGTCAGATGTGCCAGAAGATGGAAGCTGAACAGCAAGGAAAACTATAAGCACATAAAACACTTCCTGGCAAAACAGAGGTTCTGCCCCACTATGAGTGTGAAAGATGGCCTGAAACCCTTGTTGTTTCCTTCCTGCAAGTCCAGGAAGGACTGCGTCCTACACAAGAAAGAAAAGGAGGAGGCATGTGCCGGGCTCCAGGGAAATGGGAGCTGTGGGCAGCTCACTGGCTGCCTCCAGAAACGCCTCGCTTGTGTGCTTCTCAAACGCAGTTGGGATGTGGATGAAAACAGAAAAGTCCTTGCTAGAAAAGAAAACAGCTGCCTCTCCAGCTCCTTGCCACCCACGACGTGTGACGGGCAGGACGTGTCCCTGCCTTTGGAAAACATGGCATATTCCTGAGAGGCAGCTCCAGAAGCGCCCAGGGCTGGCGAGCCTTGGGATGGAGCATCCCATAAACCAAGCAGCCAGCAAGCAAGCAGAGCTCTCTGCAAAACAAAGCTGGGGCCTGCTGAGGACCTAGGACTCTCACGGAGGGCTTTGGGGAAGCACGGGCAATTAAGAGTGGTTTTTCCCTTGTTTGTTTGTATCTAACTGCTGTCCCTTCATGTAGGAAGCCAGAAAGAAATGCAAGGACACGCAGCGGAAAAGCAGGGTGGCTTTGCACGGTGAAATCTCAGTCTGGTGGTTGACTCCAATGAGCAAGCAGAAGCTTGAAAGCAAGGAAGGAGAATTTCTGCCCTACCTTGCCCTTCCTTGCTGGTTTTCTCTCTTATCTTCCATGCAGACAAGCAAATGGGCCTGGTATGACAGCGCCCTGTAGGGATGACCCCACTATCAGGTGAATATCCATCCCTTTCCTAGCTTCTACACGCTGTTATTCAGTTATTCACACTCCCCAAACACCTTCATCCCGCTGTTCTTGCGGCCGGGAGGTGCTCACAGCTCTGGGGGAAACCCACCGAGGCTGAAGTGTCAAACACTTCAAAACGTGGGGACCAGCAGTAGGACAATTTGCAAACTATCGCCCCTTTGGAGGGACAAAGCACCAATTTGCTGCTTGGCAAACAGTTTGGGAGATGGCATCCCGAGGACTTCAACTACAGCATCAGTTTTCCTTAGGAGGAAGAAAGAGGTCCCACCACGTCAGAAAGAGAACCTGCTGTGCTGTTTTCTTCCTTGCTATGTCTTGCAATAGGGATCAGGCAAACATGGGAGGCAGAGGGGAGCTGGGGGTTGATTAGGGCAAGCAGAGCTGCCAGCGGGGAAGAAACTCAATGGTTAAAACCCAGGAAGCCTTGAGGAGAGTCCTGCGTGTGCCCGCTGTCTCATACACTGTTAGAAAATTGTTGTAAACAAGAAACGCAGCGTCTTCGGAGGCTGAGTGGCCTGGAAGGAATTTGGGAGATAAACTTGCACTGCTGGGGAAGAGGGGGCAGCCCAGGGGTGGGGGTGAAAGCCTAAAGCTGGCGGCAGAGGCCATGACTGTGACCAGGGGGCTTGTGCTGGCCCTAGAGGAGGACAGTTGGGGATGCTATGGGCTGCGAGGAGCCGACTCACCTTCTCTCCGGGTTGCCCTTTTAGTCCCTGGGTCAGTGGCACCCATCGCAGCCACATGCAAGAGGGTGCAGGGAGGGGGAAGAGAGAGAGAGAGAGAGAGAGAAACACAGGCGTCAGCGGCAAGGGCACGCTTCCCTGCCCCAAAAACCCTGTCTGTGGGGCTGCGATGAGTAGGATGGGCTCAGCTCCTACCCCAGCCCTCTTCCCCATCCTCACCCTGGGATGCCCGAGCGAAGAGCAGCTCCAAAACACAGCGCCCAGCCAGGCAGGGGATGCCTTGCCTTGTTCAGGGCAGGGTTATTTGAAAAGGGCAGCTGCCGGTGGCAGGTGGGTGTTAGCAAGCCCAGGGTTAGCAAGCCCAGCCAGCTCACGAGGTGGCAGCAGGAGGCACCCAGCCCAAGGG